GCTCACTCCTGGAATGTGGTTGAGGTTTCCTCCCTTTTCGTAGATTGTTTCCTTACAGGGGACATCAGGCTGCTTCCAAAGCTCCCTGTGATGTTCTTAGAAATGTCCAAGGGGGATTCTGGATCCATTTAAAACACACCAGGGTAGTCTGTGTTCCTCAGCCTTCCCTTTACCATGTGCTCCTTCGCTGCTGGGAGAAAAACCCATGCCAGAGCCGTGCTCATGACTCCCTTGGGCTCTTGCAGAACCCCACAATGGCCAAGTGCTCATGGTGCTCAGCATGGACAACAACTGCTCAGCCCCCTCCTTTGACATGGAGCTTTGTGCAGAAAAACTGAAGTCCCTTGGGGTTCAGGTAAGCTCCTCATGCATTATCTCCCCTGGGGACCCTGTAGGAGTGAATGCTAGCTGGATTAGTGTCGTTTGCATTTACACTCACGTCACAGACAGCTTTTGGTTTTTTGGGTTCAAGTCACTTGTTTCAGTTCAACTTCAGTCTATTCTCCATGGACTGCAAGTCAACTGTAATGATTTTGACTTAAACCTCCATGAACCCATCCAACATAGGTTCTAGTGAATTGCTTGAAAGTCACTCTGATGGGATGGAGCATCCCTGGGACAATCTGTCTTGTCTTATTCTTTGTCATAAAAAGGCAGCTTTTCCTGCACTTTCCAAGGAGATATTACTCACTGCAAATGAGGCAAGAACACAAGTTTTTGGTCCGTGACAGCTGTATGGATGAGATTGGAGGTGCGCTCTGGGACACAGCTTTCAATTGCAGTGCCAGCGTGGCCTCACCATGGCTGCCCAACCTAGTTCTGATGGGACCGGGAGCCTGAAGCTGGTGGGTGGCTCTAGTTCTCTGTTTGCTCCCTGCGCAGGTGGCAGCAGATCAGTGTAGCAGGTTGATCCAGGATGCCATCCTGAAGCCTGAAGTGAGACGGTACATGTTCTACAACTCCAGGGCGTTCCAGATAGCCATCGCTGTGGTAAGGACAGTGGGGTCCCTCGCAGGCTTACCATAGACATGCACTTGCTGAGATGCATCAAGACCTACACCTGGGGTCTTTTCCAACCTAAATGGTTCCATGACGCTGTGACATGCTGTGCTGTACATGTCATATTTACTTCTAGGTAGTCTACTGCCTACACGCACACTATCTGAAGTAAAGGCCAAATGAATTCGTTTTTCCCGTCTTTATGCAAAGGTCGGGTTCGTCAGTCCTTAACATAGTCCTTGAGCCCGGTGTCAGCGTCCACCATTTGAGTGTTATTGTAATTGAGGAGTCTTTGCACCACCTTGAGTGCTTTGACACAGGAACGTTCTAAATATGGGGACTATTAGAAATGTTATCAACATGCCTCAGTGAGTGCGTTTCTTACCCGAATGGAAGAACGCAGTTGAAATCTTTCCTAGATATGAATCATCAGTAATAATTCCCTCTCTGCCTTTGATAGTCAGTAATTTTTTATAATAAACTGGGGCTCTCTCAGTCCTTCTAGTCCTTTCTTTCCCCTATTTATTATTGGAAAGAACTTCTGTCCTTTCTTGCCCTCTGAAAATCTTGTGACTTCATTTATGGCAAGGTGTTACCCTGGGAGAGGGGACCGGTAGTTTTCTTCTTCCCTTGACTTTTTGTCACTTTCATAGTTTCGTATCATCAGTCTCTCTGGGTTTTTATAGGTTTTGTATGTGTCTCTCTGGACAAACATTTACTCCACAATCCAGCTGTCTTCCTTCCGACGCTACTGGGAGGCCAACGTGCTGGTGACCCTGGCTGCCCTGGCAGTCACCGTAGTTCTGATTTTGATTATTAACCGTCACCAGAGGAAGGTAAGAGGAGGCTGTTCGTGCGCGACATGTAGCGAGCAAGGAGCGGGACTCCATCCCACCAGAGCGCAGGGACCCAGGTCATCTCCTAGATGTATATGAAGGACATAATTATCTGGAGAGGAAGGAATATTTTTACAGCAGGCTTGGAGATCAGGTTCAGGCGAGGGATGTTTTACAGCCAAGCGAGGTGTCGTAACGCCTAAAACGTAGGTGCCAGAGCCCGGCGGGCTGGCTCAAAGCTGTTGCTGGAGACAACCATTGCAGAGCATGGTTTGTGCTCCCACGGCTGGTGGGAAGCCACAGCCCGACCACTCATGCCCGGCTTCTGACAGTGGTCCTTGCAGTCTCGGCTGTGTGCAGCCATTAATAGCATCCCTTACTTGTGTCGCTGCAAGTCCAGAGCACCGCAGCAGGTCCAGAACAAAAAGGCAGCTCCTAACCCATAGAAATAGCAATAAAATTATAAAACTGAGGTAGACTGGGCAGCAGAAGGACACAGCGAGGTGACGTTAGTATGAGAGGTGACCAGCCTGCAGCATCCACTGCTTGGATGCTGTCAACTTTTGTTCGTAGGAATCACAAGGGTATGGAAACTTCTGAGGAGTGATCTGAAGAAGAATATTAGAAAGGTTTGATTCAAAATCCAGAGGGGTCTTTGCGCTGCTTTTAATGGATTTGGGAACAAGCCTCTAAGGACAGCTGTGCAATGATTCTTCCAAAGGGACACCTGGCGAATGTGCGAGTGCAGAGAGGTTCAGGAAAGGAGCCCTTCACCCAGGAGCTGCTGGGGAAGGGAGAGAGAACGTGATACTGGAAGTCGATTCCACTTCAGCCATCTTGTCTATAAGAGAAATAATCCTTGGCGAGATTTCTGGTGGCACAGACATCTGCTAGTGGTGGCCAGGCCAGTGCTGATGGCTGTATTGTCACTATGCTGATGGTGACAATCCTGCCTGCAGACTGCTCCTGTCACTACTTTCCCTTCACAGACACGGGATTTGGGATTATCCAGCTGCAGTTTGTAGCTGTAGGCCAGCCCAACTTTTGCTGTAGAGTGTGTTAATTTTTCCTGCATTCTTTAACAGATAAATATGAATACAGATGTGAGGCTGGCAGCTGTCAACGAAATCTTTATCAACCATGGTTTAATACTGGGGATTACAGATGCCCTGGATGGGCCACACAACATCCTACAAGTATCCTTTCCGTAGGGAATCATTAGTACCCCTTCTGGGTAGCTAATGATGTGGAGATATTTATTGATGTTATGATCCATGAAGATTTCCACTGGGTGGGATTTCCAGGATGTGTTTTTTCTCCTATTGGATGGCGTGAGGGATTGGGTATTTTTTTTCTTCTCCTGTAAATTGGAATTGAGATATGCCCAAAGGCAACTGGAAATAATGAGTCTAAAAGATTGAAGTGGGATTAGTCCTTTGGGAAGGCAATTATTCCTGAAAGCGTGTTACACTTACATGACACTGATGGTTCTTATTATGAGCAGAGTGACAGCAACGTGCCTATGAAAAAAAAAAAAACCAAAAACAAAACCGAAAAACCACAGAGAAAACCAGAGTCCCCGTCCCTGGGAGGTGATGTTCAGCCTTGCAGAGACAAACTAAGCCAACAGCATCCAAGTGCCTCTGCTCTCCCGGTGATTTTTAACCCTGGACTCCCTCCTCCAGGCACATCAGACAACCTGATTTCATGGGGCACGTGCCTGGCAGCCAGGTCTGCAGCTGCCAAGCACTTACTTCATGGCCGTTGGAAAATGCAGGTTGAAGAAACCAGGTAGAGGGAGGCTCATTTGCTGCTCTTTGGAGATACCTTTTCTGGATTAGACAAAGATTTAGGAGAAAGAAGAGAGTTATAAGACAGCATGAAAGTGTTAAAGGAAGGTGGGAGAGATGGTCTCCCAGATTTGCTGATGGACCTCACCCCCCAGCCCCCCTCCCCATATATACAGAGATGTATGAAATAGAAATGGAGAGGGAACCAAGGCTGAAACGCAGGGTCAGAGAAGAGGGCAGGGAATACCGACGGAGGGCTGGCAGGGGGGAAGTTGTGTGGAATGAGGAGGAAACACTAAAGAACCTGAATTACTTGTTTGCTCAGACCAGTGTACTTTTGCACCTCAGCAAGTGAGGACTAATCCAAGGGGCCTTCACCTCTGCCTGCGTGTCCCAGAACTGTCTGAGAGCAGAAAACAACCCAAGGATTTACGATTTCTTAGTCTGCTCCACTGTCAGATCTGTCTTAACCCTCTAGTTTTTACGCTGTTACTGAATCCCCTTGATGATGGCAGCTTGAGTAGATATACAAGGGTGGACCTTTGGCTGCCTTCTGGGAGCTGCTGCTCTCAAAGCTGGCAGGAGTCACATCAGCACGTTGATCTTGGCAGACTCTGCAAACAGTGCCTCTGTACTGAGGACAAGCACCAAGTACAGTAAATTTTGTAAAAACAATAAATGGCATGGATCCCTAGAAACAAAGGGAAGAAAGCAGGAAGGAGCTTAGGGGAGCTAAGTCAAGGTGACCCACCAGTTTGTTTAGATGAAAGGCCATTGAGATGAGTGATGGGCAATGCCCCTGAGCCATCCCTGTTTCCACCCCCCCGGAGTGCAGGAGGTGTGTGAGGAGGACTGGGGCCATGTTCCCCTTCCCTGCCACCCTTCTTCTCTTCCCTTTGTACCTTGCCTCTCTTGGCTTAAAATTACCCCTGTGATGTGTTATTTGGTTCCCGTGTCCTGAGCATCCCATGGGCACCACCTGCCTTCACTCCGCTTCCTGCGAGGTGCATACCAGGATCAGGGTGGAGGAGGAGAAGGGCTGTGGAGGGGGAAGCATGGAAAGACCCCTTCCTTAACGCTGCCCGTCCCAGCTGTGGTTCGTGCGCTTCAGCCCGGAGAGCTGCCTCCAGTCCTTGTCAGCCCACATCACGGACCTGCAGAGGATGCGGGAGGTAAACGGCAGTGGGCACAGCCCCCGTGCCTGCAGGGACATGTGCAGGTCCACCTCTACGGCCCCGGCTTTGGTGGGATGGAGGTGGGCAAGGAGAACTGAGGTTTGAGTGTCCTCCTGGACATCTCCTGCTGTGAACTGGGAGCTGGACAGACCGGGAGGTGGATAAACAGCATCTGTCGGCGCT